TCGTCCTAATACCTTTTCCATGGAACTTTTCTTGCCACAATCTCGTCCAACCACTAATTTTATTAGTTTCTCGAGGTCTTATATTTCCTTAAATACACCGATCTAGAACCAAACAGTCCAAAATTAATGCTTCTTCAACATACATGGTAGTCAGTCTCAATCAGGCTGAAGATTAGATAGGTTTGAATTGAATTTTAATAATACTGTGATTTTTCAATTTCCAGTGTTCGGCATTGGATTTCCCGCATTTACTCGGTATGATGGACGGTTTGATAGCTCCACCGGTCATCAAAGAGGATCCGAACACACTGACACCGAACACGGGGCTCGTATCACCTAGCCGAAATGGGCCCCCGACGCCAGCTCCGACTCCAACCACTCCGACGAAAGCATTTGTTGCCCAATTACCAAAATCCCTCTCACGATTCGTGCTCTTCCGACGCTGAATGAACCCAGTAGCCATCAGAGTGCAATTTTGAGATTTTATTTAATTTGATTTTTTTTCTTTTGATTAATTTCAAAGAACGCATTGTTGAGCGTTTAATTCAACATGATAGTTTATGTGAATGTTGAACGTTGTTGTCACTGCTAAGCAATAATTACAATAGATAATAAATATACTTATTTAGTGGTTTCACAGAATATTTGTAGACGTTAAAGAATGTGAGCAGTGAAAGTATAAACGTAGTAGGAGGCCATGATAGTTTACTAAATTTTTGATACAAGTAAGCATGAATGATCGGTTCTACAGTTCAGTTCATTAGTAAAGGCAGTCTTGGTAGAGGAGGTCGCACTAAGGAGCTTCAAAGCGAAAGGCATAACATCTGCAATCACTGGAAGGAGCCGTGGAACGGTAAATCTTATCCACAAGGTGATGCTCAGCCGTTTTAGCGAAAAACTCGTATTTTCTGGTACCTGAGCACTCTAATACCTTTCGGAACCTCACATAGGATTTGAGACAGGCTCTGTTTCTATGCTCCAACTTTTCAATGTTTCCCATCGTAGCAAGGGATCTGACCCGTAACAAGTAACGTTTGATGGCACAGTCCACGATAATTTTGAGGTACCTCTTTTTAAGTCGAAAGCAGAAAGTATTAGTTAGGAATAGTACACCGGTGGTGAAGGAAGGAAGAAAACTCGTCGATTTTGCGAAAAATAAGTCTCTTCAAAAGTAGTGAACACAGAAGTTGTACGAGATAATCATGACCGAGGTGACATGAAAAGGATGTTCGGACGAGTTTTCAGCTGTTGCGATTGCGCGAAGAGTTGACTACATCAAGTCAAAACTGTCCAGAACTGCCTTTCTCTGTCGCTATGACCAGTTGTTTGAAGTTCCTACATGGGAATGGTGAAGCCTTTACAATGCCGTTGAAACCCGTCCGCATATACACACGAGACATTATTTGAGCCTTTATAACGCCCTATCTGACGGTGCCACATATGGCATTCGAGGGGCTATAGATTCATCCTGGCGTGTTATCTCTGAACTGTGCCTTTGTCTCACTGGAGGGTGTATAGGCGTAACAATGTGTGCGCTTTTTGAACTGAGCGAGAACTGCTATTGTAACGTGACTTCCGTTTCAAGGAAAACGTTTGACAAATCTACTAAAAATGCAATCCGTACGGTTTAAAAAATGTCAATTGAACCCTTTTCAGGGCAAAAATTCATAGACCACAGATCGTGCGTCTCCGAAAGTGGCTTACCAAAGTAATCTGATTTAAAATGTAAACGAAATCGAAAACCAAACACAAAGGATGTTGAAAGTATCTTTTTGTACGGCTATTTTTGCTCCCTCGAATTAAGCCACATTGATTAATTCAGGATTATGATAGATGAACGCATATAGTAATTTACTAATACAATTATTTATTGGGAAGATGGTGTAATGGCAAGTGGTGCACTATCACATATGCATGGTCACGTGTTCGAATCCTACGTCGATGTCCGCCTAGGCCAACCACGCCTTTCATCCCTTCGGGGTTGCTAAATTGGTAGGAGACCCGTTTGGGAGGATAAGGCACTGACTTGTACATCGGCTGGCCACCGCAAGTCATTGTACAGGCCATGTATGCATTCGATACGCCACTACGGTTCTGAATGGAAGTCGAGTGGGGGCGCAATCCTCAGAGAAGATGGATCAACAACCAAATGCTGGTTAATTGGTACCAGACTCGTCTGGGAGGACAAAAGCTCTGACTTGTACATCGGCTGACCACCGCAGGTCATTCCACATACGCATACAATTGATACCTTCGATTCTGAATGGAGGTTGGGTGCTGGGCGCATCCCAAAGAGGGCTCGATCAACGTTAAAAATCCTTTTATTTGTTACCCACATGATTTTGTGAGTAAAACTAAGCTAAACCTTAATACTTCGAAATCAGTTCGGCTTCTTACAGTACTTTGATGATTTGCTTTAAGTATCTTTTCTTCAAAGTAACGTTTTAAAATACTCTAAACCAGATTGCCAGACTTCCGCTTTCGAAGATTAGGTCGTGACGTAACGATTCAGTGTTTTTCCCAAATAGGTTTTTGAAAGGAAAACAGTATTTGGGATAGATATTTGCATAATCCTCGGTCAAACTTACAATAACACTGCCCTATATAAGCACGGATGGTTTCCTGGACTAGGTTTTTTGGTATACTCATCCGACTACCCGGAACTGGGCAGTGCCTTTATTCTTGAATCTTCACCTTTTCCACACCTTCCTTTTACGACTATTTTTTCAATCCAACCTTCATTTTTTGAACTGACGATCTTACTGAAACCTGTTTTACAACTGTCAAGTCAAATTTTACTTACGTCACTAGATTTATCAGAGAAAGGACACGATAAAGAGAGCTCTGAGATCATAGGAATTTTTTAGACAAAGCTTGATCTTCTTAGTTTCATTGTTTCGTCCAGCAAGCCTTGTTCACTCAATGGTCAATAATATAAATCGATTTATCGACCAGTGATATGACCCACAATTTTTCTGCAATTCTTGGGATTTTGGGGCATTCTGAGTTTCAATTTTACTATGAGCCTTGCCTATGAGTGTGATCGTACAGTTTCTGCCTATTCGCCTGCTTACGCTGAATCGCTCACGGGCTGAATAGTGACCATCCAAAACAGCTCGTTATTACTATTTACTATTACTTTCGCCATGCTTAAAAGCGATCACTAGTGAACTCAAAACTCATATCGTAGCTATGCGACTGTTCATTCATCTGCTGGTCCTCGTCGGGTTATGTGCCGCTGAACTGTCCCACTCGGCACCAAGTGGAGCAATGGCAGACGCGCCTATGAGGACGTACCCAACCCCACCTGATGGAGCAGTGTCTGGCCATGGTGGGTCTGTAGATGCATCAGTCGGGAGCAGTCCTCGAGTAACGAAGTAGTCAAAGCATCAATCAGTTACCCTTCAGTTTCTGACGCACCATCTGATCATGGTCACGGTAAAAGAGCTGCCAACCCTATGGAACAGGCAGCAGTCAACGATCGAGCGATGGATGGCGAAACAGATGTCGACGGTAGTGTTACCCAACATTGAACTTAGTGTTATTCGAAAATAAACTCAACTTCAAACTGTCAGCTAATAAATTGATTATGCTTTGCATCGGTGATCGGGATACCATTATGGCGAGACGCTTCATGAGAGTGAGCTTACATAACTAGGGAAACTTGATGGAGAGATCTTAAAGAACAGCACTTTTCGCTCGATTCGATCCGCAGTAGCTAGGAAAAAAGAGTGGGATACAGGTGGTATTGTGAGGCCTACAGTTGTATGTATGAATAACTGAACTCTTCTATAATATAATGTAGTGGATAGGGCCTTAAACTATGCCTCTAATTGCATAATCGTTTTCTGGATCTCCTCTGACAACCTGTAATTCCTACTACAACTAATCTCGTATAATTCGTTCAAAAATGAGAGTCACATTTTTTTGGCCTTGATCAAGCCAGTCTTTGGATGCGCCCCGCATTCGATTTCCAAGCTAGATCGTAGTGCTTCTTGGAGCCTATATGGCTTTTTCGTAACCGATGAAGGACATTGTTTTATCTTCTTTGACAAATCTTGTAATTGTTAACTAGCCTCATAGGGTGGAAAGCTCAAGAAATATGTATTGAGCTCGGACGTGTATCGAAAAAATCGATACTCATCAAAATGTAGGGAGGGAGGTTCTATTTATCAAAGTCTATTAGTCGCTCTCACAAATAGTCAATGCTGAATAATACTACTATAATAGAAAGGTAAGCTAGCTAATAAAAAAATTAACAACTTCGATTTCAAACCAGTCAGCTAATTTTTTAAAATAGTTACCAACAAAATCTCTAAAGACTCTTAGTAGTAATCCCTTGATCAAAGCCTAGCCATTGGCTCAATTTTTCGAACCAGCAAAGATGATCTGTCTAGAGAAATTATGAACTCCGGAAGGTCGTTTCTATCCGCCCACTGTCAAACTGGTTACCAATTTCCCGTGCTTTGGTCGGAAGTGCTCTCACTACTCTCCCTACGTTGCCCTTGATAAAACTTCAAATGCTATATGGGAAACGTAGGGAATGGGGAAAGCAAAGGGATGATAGTTAGAAGCCAGATTTTCATGGTAATGGATTTCGCATCTGTTATAAGCTTAATCTCAGTCACTGCACCCTAACTTCATGAATAGCTACAAAAGTGCACCTGCAAAAGTTTCGAAGAAGTACGTATATGCACGTATATCGTGGACTGACTCTTAAAATGGGTTATGAGCAATCGCCCGAGAAAGTGCATACTCGACAACTCATCAGTAGCCAATTTAGAGCTTCTTGGAAATGGAATTCTCGCTTGGATGCACCAGAATATATAATGTTTTGCGAATAGCGTAGCCTGTCGACAAAATATG